CTGCTGCTGCTGCTGCTGCTGCCGCCGCCACATCTCACTCACCGGCCAACTCCCTCACCCTCAGGCCTTGAACTTGCTCCTTCCTCCTTGGAAGGTCCTCCCATCCCCAGTCCTGACTCTGCTCCCCACACAGGGCTCTGCTGAAATGTCACCACTCTAAGCAGACTTGCACAGACCTGTGCCACCCCAGGCTAACTTACTGCCCCTCACTCTAGCCTGCTGCACTTCCCAGTGCTCACTGCCATGCAGAATGCATTATTTATACTCTGCTTCCTTGTCTGCTGCCCCAGCTACAATGTAAGATCCACAGCAGCAGGGATTTGATATTTCCACCACTTAGAACAGCGTCTGGAAGAGCCTGCTTGTGCTAGAAAGGGAGGGCAGCCGGCCAGAGGGGAGATGGTAACAGGAAAGCAAAAGAATGAGCAAAGAGCTCGAAGAAGCTTCCCTTTGGTTGGCTGCTAATTTCTATAATCTGTTTCGGGAAACGAAGACACCATCTGCCTCTTCCTAAGTCTTCTGGTTATAATAATAATACTAGTGATTCACCTGAGGCAGCTCTAAGCCTTGACAGAACTATACAATTTTACAAATCCTCTTTAAGAAAAAGAATATAAAATCACCGACATAACATCAGGTATGGACGTGTATACTTGTTTAAAATGAGAAAAGAAGTCCTAGCCCAAGAGAAGTGTTTTGGAAACTCACATCCCTTTCCTTTTAGATTCTATGTAATTTGCTGAAGAAATGAAAATGCTTCCTGAATGTGGTCTGGCCTCTCCTATGCATCTAGAACAGTCTGTGGCTCCCAGGGGTGCCTGGAACTCACAGGATCCCAGGCATATAGGGGTCTCAGAGATGGGGAGGGGCATCATTCACCTCGGGAGCTGCATGGTCTCCATGCTGCACTTTCACAGAGCACTGTCCTCTGGCTGTAGTGCAAGTCTTTGTCCATGTCATTAACCCACACAACCACCTGCTAATGAGCCCCTACTGACAAAGCACCCAATTCCATGGAGGGGGAGATCACTGCAGGCTTTCAAGGATTCTCAACAACGTCTGTCAATCGTGTCCCAGCGTTTGCTCAGGGACCAGTAATGTTTTCCACTTTTTGGGAAAATGTGAGCCCCTTTGATGAAGTCCAAAAAAGTCACCATCTCCCCCTCTGGTACACACTTCCATTTCATCTTAACAGTGTTCCTTACAGTGCACTCACTTATGAGCTTCGGCTCATTTTTTTTTAATTTCCCTACCGTGCCTCTGGCATCTTTATGTTTGCTTTCATTATTTCTATGTTTACAATTGCTCTCAATTCCGTTCCCTCCCAAGTTTCATTAACACTCTTTGCCCCATCTGCAAATCACCAGGGCTGGCACATTTCATGGTTATCAATGATCGCTTGCTACAAACGTGAACCTTGGCTTCAAGGGAAGGGCAGAGAACAAGGAGGCACCGCTTCTCAATGGGCACAGCAGCTAGAGTCAAAAATGTCCATAATTCCTCAGGTTGGTGGGGCTGGGTGTGTGGGTCATGGATACCACTGCTGGCTCTTGAGATTTAAATTTCTGCAATTTTCTGTACACATTCAGCAATTACAAATGCATTACCATTGACCCACAGTAAACTCAGTGGTAAACCCTACTCCTAAGAATTTATTCATGGATGTGTGAGTTTACATATGGAATCACGCATATGCAAATGACATAGTCCTGAGGTTATTCACTGCTGTGCTCCTTCCAATAAGAGCAAGTTGTGGACTGCATGATCCACGTGCCTCTGAGGCAGACGGGAGGCTCCCAGTCTTTCCTCTTTCCGCTGCCTGCCCAGCTCCAGTGGCTGTCAGGCTGCCCTTCCACTCACTTCCCTTCTTGCTCCTCGGCTGCCCCCCTCCCCAGTGAACTGGGACAACTCCCTGGGTGTCCTCCCTGCCTGTTTAGCAGCCCCTCTCCTCCGGGCTGCTCCAGGGCAGCTCCACTGTCAGCCGTGGTGCCCCCGCATCTTGTCATGTGGGAGGGCGACAGCCGCCCTGAGTTGGCTGAGATCCGGGAGAGAGAGACCTGGACTCACTGTTGACATCCCTACCCTCCCCAAGCCCAACAGGCACTCAGGAACTCAGCCAGCTCTCCAGAAGATTCCTCCAATTCAGCCCCCATTTTTCCTCCATTATGCAACAGCTGTCAAGCAAACAGCTTGCACACCTTCTCCTACTCACTGAATCCCTGCTAGAACAGTGTGGCTATCCTGGGGCTGGCACCCGCTTGAACCAATCACAAGCCTGCACTTGGGTCAATCAGCAGGCCAAATTTGAACCAATTACAGGTCTGTACTTGGGCCAATCACAGCCCTGCAGCTGCTATATAAGCAGCTCTCCCTTAACACTTCTCTGGTTAGTGTCGAAGAGCTCCCTATGGTATACTGACCCTCTTGAGCTTCTGCACAGGTCTAAGATAAGGCTCACTCCAGCAGTCCTGTAAATCTGCTGGTGATTTATTTTTTGGGTAGTGTGAGCTTGGAAGGTCTCATAAATCTACTCATGATTTTTATACTGAGTAGTGTGCCAGAGCAGTCATCTCAAAAGAAAGAGCAACATCGAACCCTGGTACAAAAAAAAAAAAGAAAGAAAGAAAGAGCAACAAACACTAGGGGCTGTCAGCCCTGCAGAGCTCCAGAGACTGGCAGCCAGCAAAGAGCAGCGACAGTCAGGAGCAACCAGCTGTCTCCCCGCAGCATCTGGCATCGCCCTGCAGCATCCGGGCCACTGGCAGAGCTGCACTTTGCCACTCATGATTTCTATCTGAATCGAGCAAAGAACCCTCAACTGATTGGCAATACCTCCACAGAGGACTGGCTAAATTAATCACAGGGTAGCCAGGTAATGGAGTAGCAGAAAGCTGAAAAAAGAACAGATAAGGACTTTATATTCAAATATGGAAGGAAGTCTAAGATAGGTATGGAAAGTAGAAGCAAATATAGAACAATATACATAGTTAGATGACTTATTTTAGTATATGTGCTGCTGAAGTGAGCACAGGATGACTTATTTTAAGAAGGGGAAAATATATTTTTATTTAGATGAATAAAAACATCATATGAAATATTAACAAGAAACTACAGACAGTGATTACAAGCTCTGTTTGTGGAAGGCATGGAAATTAGGGACAGGAAGATTATTTCTCACTACATATCCTTTTATTAGTATTTTAAATATTATCTACATGACTGGATTACTTTTTTAAAAATTTAAATTAGAGCTGAGTTATTGTCAGCGGTAGAGGACTTGCCTAGCAAGTATGAGTCCCTGGGTTCAAGACCCAACACTGCAAAAAATGAAAATCAAGTAAAGATATTAAAGATAAAATCAGTCAAAACCCTAGTCCCCAAAGAACAGCATCACTAGCCACTGGTCATCATTTAAGGATTGGTGCCACATCAGAAAATCTTACAATTCTTTCCATCATGCCAAAATTTATTAACCCTAACAAGGGAATCCTGTAAGTTATACATTGGTTAATTTCATGTCCTGAACAACAAATTTATTGAGGGAAATGGAGCTGATAAGTGATTTTGTCTGCCCAGATTCCTTTCTCCTTCTTCCTTTAGCAATACCCTTTCTTTGCTTTCAAAAACTGTCCCTCCGTCCTCTAGTAAATAAAACTCAAATCTAGGACTGCCTCCATTCAAAATGGGCGTGTGACTCAGGTTGGCCAATAAGCATCTTCTGATCTCAACACTGTGATTGGCCCAGGATAGGGCATATGACCCAAGAAAGGCCAATCAAAGTCCTTATTTCCAGAAAGAAAAATGGAGGGA